GTGTGGTGTGGTGTTGTGTGGTGTGGTGTGGTGTGTGGGGTGTGGGTGTGTGTGGTGAGCTAGAAAGAGAAAGTCTAGGTGTCTGGTATCAAATACTATGAAGGGCCGTGTAGGCCAAAATTCAAACTCCCCTCGCACACACACTACTGAAAACATCTGGCCTTGCACACACACTACTGAAATACTCTCACATTCACTACTGAACACCTCACACACACACTACTGAAAACATCTGGCCTTGCACACACACTACTGAAATCCTCTCACATTCACTACTGAACACCTCACACACACACTACTGAAAACATGGCCTTGCACACATACTACTGAAATCCTCACACACACACTACTGAAAACATCTGGCCTTGCCACATACTACTGAAATACTCTCACATTCACTACTGAACAACTCACACACACGCTACTGAAATGAACGTCATACACACACTATTGAAATCCTCTCACATTCATTACTGAACACCTCGCACACACACTACTGAAAATTAACCTCACACACACACTACTGAAAAACATTTTACTGAAAGGTTCTCAGTAGGGAATGTGCATGTGTTTCACCTATGTGTGTGTGAGGGGATTCTTGATGTAACGGAAGTCATTCTAATGTAACGGAAGTCATTCTAATGTAACGGAAGTCATCTGCTGGTGGTCTCTTTGCTAGCCCCGTTAGCTTCATTAGCTCCAGGCTACTACTCGGACGTGTTTGTTGTGTTGATGCCTGGTGGAGTATTCTTCATTGAAATATCGCACTTATCTTATGGCTCTGCGGTTCAAACAGACCGTCTATGAATGCAGTTTATTCGGTAAGTGAAATTCAAGCACTTTATTTCTTACTTGTCTTTTATTCAGCTAACAAGCGAGACGAAGCTACATCTATGCTAACGATGCTATCCGTAGCATACAAGTTAAAAACATAATGGAGAAGTGTAAAACATTAAGAAGGATTATACTGTAAAACATAAGGCTTCTCGGTGAGGTTGGTAAATAAGGTCATGCTTGTACATTAGTTATATTTGCTAGTTAGGTAACTGCATTGTTATTGTTAATTTAAAATAGCTATGCTCGACGATGCAGACAGCTAGCGTCACATTAGTGTTGAAGAGCAGAGTATGAGATTAACCTCACTATAAGATCTGTGTATCTGAACAATATGAATCTCACATTTCCAGTTGGTTCCAGAAATAACGTTGACGTAGATATTGCAATATGTTTGTTGAGCTGGAGTTGATTGTTGAAGCTTACTGGTTAACGTTCATCATATTAAACGAACGAACCCAAACGTTGTTGTTTTTATTAATATTATTACCAATACTTACTTAGCATTTTATTATCATACACTGGAGAAACCGACTTATTGTGGCAGCAGAACGTGAACATGTAACTTAATGCCTGCATTTGAGGACGAAAAATAGCTCAGTCAATGCTTAGGGACAAGGAAATGATTTGTTTAAATATTAGATATGACGTTATGTGTGCTTCTGTGACAATGAAGCTTATTCATTGCATTACATTTGTTGAAGATGTTTGTCTTTTACCCTTACGTGTGTGTGGGCTTTGATATCCAGCACTTTTTTTTAAGGATAACAAAAAGATTATCACATGACGTTTGCATGTAAAAACAAGTCTGTGACCAACACATTGTTACTTTACATATACATCTGTTTGTTTAAAGTTTCCAGGTGATGCAGACAGACCAGAGGATGCTGACCACGAGAGACAGACCTATTCCTAACATCAGTGAACTTCAGCATGGACTCAAAGGTACAAAGACTCCTTTCATACTGTACAAAGAATCGAGAGAAACATTTTTTAAATAAAGTAACAACTATAATCAGCTTTCACATTCAATGTATTTAAGGCAATTATTATTTACATTGTGAGAATTGCTACCATTTGTCTCTACATATGTCTGTAAAAGACGTGGTAAAAGTGGTTCTTGCAGTGAGACAACCGAGCAGTTGAATATTATTTAATAAGATATGTTAATGTTGATTAACTGCAGACTGTTCATTCATAATCTGATTATCTTTGTAGTACAAAGTGATGAATTAAAAAAACACGTTAAAATTAAAAAAATACATTATTTCTACAGCCGCTAAATAAACAAACCTCTTTCATAAATAACACACTTGCTCTGCAATAATGTCATATGTTTCTTGTCATTTCTGTTAGGAAAGGACATACCTGAAGGACACAACTGCCTCACCGTTTTCTCAGAGGGGCAAGAAGAAAATGAAAAGCTGATTTCAGATTAAAGACCAATACAGGACATTCACTAAGAAACTACACTTTTATTGTGAACACAAAGTCAAACAGGACCATCATTTGTTTGTGACAGCTGAGCCCAGTATGTGCTCACAGATGCAGTTAGGGGGTTTCTTCATCAGGCCTGGTCCTCCTCCATCAGGCCTGGGCCTCCTCCATCAGGCCTGGGCCTCCTCCCAGAGAAAGACCTCTCCACCTCAGTCCTCTCCAGCCAAACCCACAGACAGGGCATCCGTCATGCTGAGGTTTCTCCCAAAGTCTCTGCACGCTGTCTCAATTGATCCACACTGTGAATATGAGGGGGAAATGTGTCATAAATGCTTTAGACAATAAGAAATATGAAGTTAACTGTAAGGAATGGCTCATTCTTTTTTAAATAGACAAAACTATTACTGTTTTCAATATCTCATGTCTGAAAGTTTAATTTAAAAGAAGAAGAGGCCCCAAAAATAAAGATTGGTATATCAATAAATGTAGTGATTTTGTCTTTTAATTGTTTAAAGTAGATAGAACTGGTACTTAAGAGTTTGAATACAGTCTGGTTGCGGAGGAGGCACACAGGTAAGAGCATATAGCTCCCATCACATGTAACTAAGCTTGACTTGAATTTATTAAAATTAAGTAACAGCAACAAATCATGCAAAAATGTGAATCTTTGCTGGGTCCACTGTTGAATTTACCACATATGTATGTTTTAGAAACCTTAAGGCATTTATAGATTTGTATGCAAGTAACATCCCAAAACTCAATAGGCTACCTTAGATTATTATTGAAAGTTTTGTTGACTCACTTTGGGGTCCTTTTTATTTTAGAATCGTTTTTCATGAGACAGTCAATTTAAATATTTGTACTATGCCATATTCACATTCATTTGTAACACACACGTAAGGGTAAAAGACAAACATCTTCAACAAATGTAATGCAATGAATAAGCTTCATTGTCACAGAAGCACACATAACGTCATATCTAATATTTAAACAAATCATTTCCTTGTCCCTAAAGCATTGACTGAGCTATTTTTCGTCCTCAAATGCAGGCATTAAGTTACATGTTCACGTTCTGCTGCCACAATAAGTCGGTTTCTCCAGTGTAATGATAATAAAATGCTAAGTAAGTATTGGTAATAATATTAATAAAAACAACAACGTTTGGGTTCGTTCGTTTAATATGATGAACGTTAACCAGTAAGCTTCAACAATCAACTCCAGCTCAACAAACCATATTGCAATATCTACGTCAACGTTATTTCTGGAACCAACTGGAAATGTGAGATTCATATTGTTCAGATACACAGATCTTATAGTGAGGTTAATCTCATACTCTGCTCTTCAACACTAATGTGACGCTAGCTGTCTGCATCGTCGAGCATAGCTATTTTAAATTAACAATAACAATGCAGTTACCTAACTAGCAAATATAACTAATGTACAAGCATGACCTTATTTTACCAACCTCACGAGAAGCCTTATGTTTTACAGTATAATCCTTCTTAATGTTTACACTTCTCTATTATGTTTTAACTTGTATGCTACGGATAGCATCGTTAGCACAGATGTAGCTTCGTCTCGCTTGTTAGCTGAATAAAAAGACAAGTAAGAAATAAAGTGCTTGAATTTCACTTACCGAATAAACTGCATTCATAGACGGTCTGTTTGAACCGCAGAGCCATAAGATAAGTGCGATATTTCAATGAAGAATACTCCACCAGGCATCAACACAACAAACACGTCCGAGTAGCAGCCTGGAGCTAATGAAGCAACAGGGCTAGCAAAGAGACCACCAGCAGATGACTTCCGTTACATTAGAATGACTTCCGTTACATTAGAATGACTTCCGTTACATCAAGAATCCCCTCACACACACATAGGTGAAACACATGCACATTCCCTACTGAGAACCTTTCAGTAAAATGCTTTTCAGGAGTGTGTGTGTGAGGTGTTCAGTAGTGAATGTGAGAGGATTTCAGTAGTGTGTGTGTGAGGCTTAATTTTCAGTAGTGTGTGTGTGTGAGGTGTTCAGTAGTGAATGTGAGAGGATTTCAGTAGTGTGTGTGCAAGGCCAGATGTTTTCAGTAGTGTGTGTGTGAGGTGTTCAGTAGTGAATGTGAGAGGATTTCAGTAGTGTGTGTGCAAGGCCAGATGTTTTCAGTAGTGTGTGTGTGAGGCTTAATTTTCAGTAGTGTGTGTGAGGTGTTCAGTAGTGAATGTGAGAGGATTTCAATAGTGTGTGTGTGAGGCTTAATTTTCAGTAGTGTGTGTGAGGTGTTCAGTAGTGAATGTGAGAGGATTTCAGTAGTGTGTGTGCAAGGCCAGATGTTTTCAGTAGGTGTGTGTGAGGTGAGTTTGAATTTTGGCCTACACGGCCCCTCATAAAATACTCCACCGTTTGAAGTGACATGGGAGACAACGCTTCACTGTGTCACCTGTGTCCCTTGCAGACAGTCAGTTACACACACAAATACACACACCCACACACACACACACACACACACACAAAGTTTGATACAAGGCGGTAGATAAAAAGCTGGTGCCCGAGGTGGCTCTTTGGTCCTGTTCCTCAGTATGAAGAAGCTCTATTACCTTGTGGTATTGTTAAGTGGAGTGAGAGAAAGACAGTTAAGTATTTTACCTTAGTATCGGTGTTGAGCGGACAAGCTTTGGCGTGGCCGTAACAGATACACATCCCTCCTACTGAGATGTCCTTAATGGAATAATAGTACTGAAAGAGAGAAGGTGAGAAAAGGAATACAACAGCGTTAATGAGCATCGTAAAAATAGGATATGTTATCTCACTGGGGTGTAGTCTTTAAAAAAGCAAAGCCTGACCGAAGAAATTATGCCGCAATAGTAAAACCACATCTGGTGATTTGTTGAACAGCAGTTATGGTAAATTGCTGAATCACTTTAAAATTTGACTTGTATTCATCCACTCACGCTCACAGATGGCAGCGAGCTAACATGTGGCCCGGTGCTGACCATCGGGAGAAATTTGGGTTCAGTGTGCAACAATACTTTGACATGTGGATCGACCCACTTTACCTCCAGAGCTACAGCTGCCCACAGTCTGCACAATGGCCAACTTTACTGTATGGGCTACTCATCTGACTCAAAAATGTAACAATAAAACGCCTCAATCGCAAATAAATGAGATCATTTTGTATTTTTACAGTAGATTTGTATACAATTATATTTCAATGACAGATATTTAAATTACATATTATTGTTAACATGATTATTAAACGTTTTACTGTTGTACAATGAGCTTTGGCAATACTGTGTTTGTGACATGGTCATGCCAATAAAGCTTCTTTGAGTTGAATTTAATCATAATTTCAAACAAAGAAATATATGAAAAAGTGTTGAGCCTCACCCTTCTCGTCACGATGGGATCGACCTCCTTCGGGTCACGCTGAGTCAGAGTCATGAGGTCGGCGTTAAGCGTTCTGATTCGCTGAAACACCAGCCTGATGTAGCGGGCGGAGGTGAAGTTCAGCAGGGTCTGGGAGGGGTCGTCTGCACTCGGCCGGCCATTGATCAAAGACGCGTGGATCTATAGAGAGAGACAGGCGAGATGTGACAGCAGACTTAAACTGAGCCACTGTGATGAGACACACATTAAAAGGCGCTTTTAGTTTCTTGCAACTGCAGATAGTAGAGAGTAGAAGCAGTGAGAAACTTCTTCAGTGTAGCTAAGAAAGAACAAATACAGAACAGATTGGAGGAGGATGAGTTGCAATAACATATTTGTTACAGGATGTGTCGTTTATTTTCAAAAATGTAAAAAAAGACTTGTTTGAGCAAAGATAAAAAGTCTAAAATGTGGAGTATTTGTACCAAGTCAAATGTCATGATATAGTAACTAAAGTTTAAAATATAACACCTTTAATTATAGATATACACGTTTCAAAATGGCTGAGGAAAAAGACAAGATTTTGTGCGGTTCTGTTGTGTCAGACTTTTTGCCACAGAGATTCCCAATTCTGATTGTAATGTGTTTGTTAAGACCATCTGGCGATACAGTACTGCCAACAGAGGTGATTGGAACATGAAAAGACAAGACAATGTTGTTAAGAAGCAGAAGAACATGATGTGTCTTTGCAAAGATTTTAAGCGAAAAACCTGAAGACCCTTGATTGGCTTTTTAGCTTTTCAGCCATATCTAACTGAAACCAAACATCTACTCAGGGAAACATAGAGTGAGGCAAACTGAGGCAAAGCATTCAAAGGATACACAATAACAATAATGCAGTCATTTCCAATTCTTCTAGGAAGACAACATTTGTATGTGGCACATCTGCACACCTACAACAATGTTTGCTCATATTAAAATGAACGAAAGAAATAGACAATTTGAATTCTAACAGTGTCGCTCTAATGTGCTAAATGCAGGAGAAGAATAAGAATCATCTATATTCTGTATCACCAATAATGATCAACAGGCAGTCACATTGCAAGGAGTGTGAGGTCCTGTCTGTCTGTCTGTCTGTCTGTCTGTGTCTGTCTGTCGTCTGTCTGTCTGTCTGTGTGTCTGTCTGTCTGTCTGTCTGTCTGTCTGTCTGTCTGTCTGTCTGTCTGTCTGTCCGCCTGTCTGTCCGCCTGTCTGTCCGTCTGTCTGTCTGCCTGTCTGTCCGCCTGTCTGTCTGTCTGTCCGTCCGTCCGTCCGTCCGTCGTCCGTCCGTCCGTCCATCTGTCTGTCTGTCTGTCCGTCTGTCTGTCTGTCTGTCTGTCTGTCCGTCTGTCCGTCTGTCCGTCTCTCCGTCTGTCTGTCTGTCCGCCTGTCCGCCTGTCCGCCTGTCTGTCCGCCTGTCTGTCCGCCTGTCTGTCTGTCTGTCCGTCCGTCCGTCCGTCCGTCTGTCCGTCTGTCTGTCTGTCTGTCTGTCTGTCTGTCTGTCTGTCCGTCCGTCCGTCTGTCCGCCTGTCTCTGTCTGTCTGTCCGTCCGTCCGTCCGTCCGCCTGTCTGTCTGTCTGTCTGTCCGCCTGTCCGCCTGTCCGCCTGTCTGTCTGTCTTTCTGTCTGTCTGTCTGTCTGTCTGTATGTCCGTCCGTCCGTGCGCCTGTCCGTCTGTCCGTCTGTCTGTCCGTCCGTCCGTATGTATGTCTGTCTGTCTGTCTCTCTCTCTAATGTGGCCAAAAGCAACATTTGGGAGCTGCAAAGAAGTCTTATGGAGAGCACCGTGTTCAGTCGTGTGTGTGTCAAGGGGGAACACTTGATGGGTGCACGCTGCACACTTGGAAGTAACGAAGGAGATGGTTGTGTGTGTGTGTGTGTGTGTGTGTGTGTGTGTGTGTGTGTGTGTGTGTGTGTGTGTGTGTGTGTGTGTGTGTGTGATGAGCGATGGGGTGACATTGTGAATGTGTGTGCGATGCTGTGACACATCGCCTACGACTCATTATGGTTTCACTGTGATCAGACGGCTGGGGAGCTGTCAACCACACACACACACACACACACACACACACACACACACACACACACACACATTCAGACACCTCTGTCTTTGCAGCTCTTGACATCTCCCAGCTCGCACCCCCTCTAGCGCTCCCCCGCAGGACACAGACACACATGGATCCAGGCATGTGCGACACACACACACAAACACACACAAACACACACAGCACCCATGTAAATGTGTATAAATATTCAGACAGGCGTCTACAATTAGAGGCCTGTGTGGAAGATGTAGATGTGTGATTAGTTTGTTTTCCCTGTATGTGTGTATGTACGCATGTGTCTGCATTTGTGTATGTGCGTGTGTTCTTTTTCTCTTCATTAATGTCAGTAATCGTAGGCTTGCCCTTCAGTTCTTACGTGGTGAAATCATACACACAGCTGATCAAAGCAACATAACAGCAAACAGTTGTGTGCATATGTGTGGGTTTTCTATCAGTGACTTGAATTATATAAATATGTGTGTACATTTGAAATGTTCCTATATTTTAGACATGCTCTCATCTGCTTATTTACTTGTATCCTGCTAAGAGCACAGTGTCTTTATGAAAGCTCATATAAACATTATACTTTCTTTTGTGTAGATTTTATACAGTTGTATCTGGTGTCATGAGTCAAGCTTCTTCTAAGTTCGATTTCAAATGTTCACCTTATTCTAATTTCCACTCCTGTTGTAACATATCGTCTCGTTCCCAACAGTTACTCACATCCAGTCTGTCTGTTGCCCTCAGCCCTTCCCGACATGACCTGACAGTCATGCATTAATAATGTAGCCCTCAGTCCTCCTAATCAGTCACTAAGGCCCAATCCCAAACCACTCCCTCGACCCTACCCCTCCGTGACGGAGTGTACTCCGTCTGTAGCCACACTCGCAGCTCAACGAGGCTCCCTCCTGTCAGATGGAGGGAGTAAATACAGCAGCAAGCTTTGGGACGGCCTCCCCTCTCTCCGGCAGAAACAGGAAATGCCGTAACTGTATGTAACAACGGTTTCAAATCAGCATCTCTTAGACAAAAAGATAAAGATAAACATATGAGGTTATCATGAGGTCGCAGTTTATCAGTGGATGTTTGCTGGAACTACTTGTAAACAGCGTGTTTCCTGACGGACACACACAGCGTGACTCCGGTCAGGTAGAGACCGGTCTCAAGTCAGCACCGCTGCAGACTCGCTGTTTGAGGGCTTGATAGCCCACTCCCCCTCCACACTCGTTGCTTTGGAACAGCCCTCAAGATGGCGGACCCTCCGCGTGAACGCGCAAACGGAGGGGTAGGGTGTAGGGGTAGGGTGTAGGGTGTAGGGGTAGGGTGTAGGGTGTAGGGGTAGGGTGGTGTAGGGGGCGGTTGGGAATGGGCCTTAGTATGTACACTAATTCACAAGTTCACTCTTATTCTCAGATTATATTTTCCGCCTCATAGCCATAAAGTGCAAGTCTGAGCCCGCCCCTGCCTGCCTTATGATCATTTTTTCTAAATGAAGTACAGGGAAGAGATACATAAAGAAAACTACAGTATGAGATATCAATTACAGCTCTAAAAAAAAAAATGCCTTATGATCTTGGCCTGATTTTTCAACTGCCTGTTCTTTTGTGTTTACTTACTTACTTTCTGAAAGACTAAGAAAACAGCTTTGTACTTCACATCAACTTATATTATTTGCATCCAGCTTTTTGGTCCTCATTACAAAAACCTAATTTAAAAATGTTAAATTCCAAAAGTCTGGATGCAACTGGATCAGGCCATTCACATGATAATGAATAGGTGTACATTTTTTGCATACAAGCTGAAACTATCTTTACCTTTATATGCATTTAAAGAGGAAAAAAAGACCAAAGTGCATCACAAAGATAACATTCTTGCAATACTACAGAAGCTGCACTTTGTCTAGTTGTTCCCATACTAGTTTCTGGTAAATCAAGTTAAGCCATTTTAACCCTACTCGCCAGTTTGAGATCTAAACCAACCTAAATCATTCTTATAAAACACGACACAGTCTAACTTAATATAGTTCAAGCAGACCATGCACAATTTAACTTATTGTACTCTACACACCAAGTTAAAATCTCCCCAACCTCATTAAACTTGACCCACTGCTTCCCATCCTGGGTCAACTCAACCCATTGGCACCATTTAAATCAACCTAATCCAAACAAAACTCAACTACAGATTACTGCGGCAGTGTGTAAACACTTCTGAAGCTATAAGTGTTACCTCTCCGTTCTCCAGTGGTTGGATCTTTGAATAAAAAGACGTGCAGATAACTTCATCATCTCGGGTGTAGGATGGATTTCCGGTCCGCGGGTTGATGTTGAACCTCGTCAGGCACTCTGTGTCTGTCATGGCGTAGTACTGCCAGGGGTCAAAGGTGATGCCATCTATTGAACGCTCTAAGATCCAGTTACCTGTGGACAAAAATATGGGTAACAGAATGATGATGAAAGGAATTAAACATGTGATATGTAGATGGAAAATTATCAATAACATAATGATGGAGGTCCAAGACTGTGCTGAGGTCAAACTGTTTAAAATACATAGCAAATTGACAGAACATTCAATTCTACATACTTATTAATAGCCTGGACCGAAAATGTGATATTCCACCTCCTGAATCGATTCAATGGATATTCATTTTTTGTCCATCCAAGAGACAATCAGACTGCATTTACCAAATAAAAAGTTCCTGTCCAACTTTGTAAGTTTAGGTAAATGAAGGTTAAACCATTTATTTTTACAACAGTATATGCAAACGTATAAATTGCAATAATAATAGATACTTAAAAGAATGTCTCAAAACTGCAAAAGTAGAAAATGATGATGAAATTCATATAATCCAAAAATCATCACTTTTGTTTTTCATAATACCTTTGGTCTATTTTATCTGTTAGAAAGGGCCTTTTTCCATTTGTCCAGCACAGTTTCACACATGTTCCTATTAAAACCCCTTAAAGGTCACCTATCATGCTATTTTTAGTCAATAGCATAGGTCTCAGATATATACAAATATATAAAAAACATGTCTATGAAGTGTTTTGCTCAAAATACCAACAGATCACCCATTCTCATATCCCTCTATTTCACTTCCTGTTTCAAAAGTGCTAATTTGGGGTATAAAGGTTTAAAAAATTGATACAAATTAAAAAAGGAGGGGGCTGAGCTCATGCGGGACTCGGCAGCTACCGTCTAAACTAAATACTGCGGTGATGAAACGCCATATCATGGATTATCAAGGATTATCTCTGAAGCAGTATGGAGCTCAAAGGCTTTCTCTCTTGCCGGTTATACCACAAGGTGAGTTCCTTTTTACTTCCTGCTTCTTCACACACATGCTCTCCAGTCAGGTTAGCTCTGAGTGTTAGCGATGCTAATGTAAAAACCGACCATATTATTACGTCCAAAACAGTCGGGCATTGTTTCTGATAGCAACGTTTCTGATAGTGCCGTGGGACCACATTTCCGATATTACGTCATATCGGACGCAAATCTGGATCAGCTCCGTTGTAGCCCCGTTTTTAGAGATTTGGGTACGGAGGAAAAGAGAGAGGGTTTTATTTTCTGACGCTGCGTGAGTTCCCGACACACCGGGGACACATATTTATGTATAAAAGACATCAAAAAGTGAATTTTGCATGATAGGTCCCCTTTAATATAATAAAAGCCTTTTCGTTACACCGTAATTGAGCATCTACAATACATGCATAGTAAAGTCACAAGAGAGTTAATCATAGCAAAGCATAGCATTATGTATAGACAATAACTTCATCAGGATTACTGGTATTTTTTTAAGTGGGTTTTCACCTCAAAGAAACTTCTGCACATAATTAAAAAATACAGATTTATTTTATTGAATGGGATCTTGAGCTTCCAAAGAATTCTCCTTGGGCGGATCATGGGCTCAAAAGGTCATCTAACAGTCATAAAGCAAACAGGTCTGTATCTGCCGGCACTTTAAATCAAACAGTCATCAAACATGTTTCATTTTATAATCAGAGCAGTTATATTACGTTAAATTACCACCTGAAACAGCAAGTGGCTGTCTTAAATACAAACAAAGAAGAGGAAATCTTACCTGGGCGCGGGGAGTTGGCTGCCTTTATGATCATATAGGCTATCTGGAAAACCTTAAAAACACAGACAATAGACAGAGTTAAAGAAATGCATCAATAACCGCAGGGAAATATTTTACCTGCAGTTTTAATGACACTGGATTTCCACTGAAGCGTTTACACTTTATGTCAGAGTTAATCATTGTTATGAAACTAGTCCTGGTTTTTATTACAGTTGTATTCAACCTCAACCAGTAGGTTTCTTTTTGAAAACTTTAAGTAAATTAAAAAAAATGTTTTAAAAGGATTTGATTGGTTAAACCTACTTTACTCACTTCCTTGTCACACATGTTCAAGCTGTCTGGAATTAAGAGGGTTTATTTTATTTATTTAAAGCTTTTTTAACATTTAAAATACAATCTGAAATGACCAAGTTCTTTGTCAATAATCCAGCTGTGTTGTCGCTGCAATTGATACAGACTCCGCCCCCTCTGTTTTGACCTTGGACAGACAGGTCTGCTACCGTCTGATTAAAGTAGCACTCCTCTGCCTCATTGTGGCAGTTACACTCTGAAAACACACACACACAGGAGGGACACACACACTTGATGTAGGTCAAATGCTGTCGCCCGTTCCTCTCTTCTCACCCTATCCTCGTTCTCTCTGTTTCTTCTCGTGATGTGGGAAGCAGTGTCACATTGCAGCAATGAGAATAGGGAGAACATGTGTGTGTGTGAGAGAGAAAGTGAATTTCAGGGTAACCTTAGAGCAGTCATTCAAACCTCCTACAAAGAGTCAATGTTACCTGTATTCTAGCCACGGATGGGATTGTGTGTGTGTGTGTGTGTGTGTGTGTGGGTGTGTGTGTGTGTGTGTGTGTGTGTGTGTGTGTGTGTGTGTGTGTGTGTGTGTGTGTGTGTGTGTGTGTGTGTGTGTCTCTTCTTGTGTCTGGTTGTGTCTGTGTGTGTGTAAGAGAGCTCTCAGTGGTAGCTTGTAATATGCTGACAGCTTTGGGACAGCTAGGCAGCTCCAGCAGCTAAACATAGATGAACACAGCTAATGCAATGTGAGTGTGTGTGTCTTTGCGTGCTGGTTAGTAGGCATGCGTACGTGCATTCATGCGTCATATTTTGTGTTTTGATCAGAAGTGGCTCAGACAAAGGAAATGTTTTGCCCATAAAGCTCGACCCAGCATCATCAAATAAACACCAATAAGCGTCCTTCAATAGATCACACGGCTGGTAAATAATTGTGATCTTGCATCCATTACATTTAATGTCAGTTGGGTACATTTATGGTAAGTTTGTTTCATGAACAGATACTTTTCTTAGCCTTTGGTATATAATTTAATTGGCTAAATTCACTTTTTAAAGTAAGTTTTGTTTATCTTCCACACAAAAAACCTTAACTTTGAGTAAAAGAGTGAAACAATGTGACTCATTTAGACTCAGATGAAATGTTGCCTCTTATCTGTACTTTGTTTTTGCCCTGATGAATAATTCTGTGGTTCTAAAATAAACTGACTCAGATCTATATTGCACTTTTCTTGAGATAGAAGTGTTGCAGAGGAGTGTGGCAAATGTCTATTACGGATACAAAAAAGCACTTATCTCGAGGTATGACAAGAGTCTTCTATTCTACATCTCACAAGGGGTCTTAAAAACTCAATACCATATACATTATTATGAATTTCCAAATAGTTGTTACGCATTTATTGAACCAATATTACACATTTAAAAGGAAATAGTCATGAGGGGAATGACATATTGCGGCCAAATGAGCACTTTATTTGAATGATAATCCATCTATCTAAACCCTGTGTCCAGTATGGTTGTGATGCCCACAAACGAATGGGGTGTGAAGAATCCATTTGTGTGAGCGTGATTTGGAAACAGTGACAGCGGTTTTACTGGGCAGCTGGTGTTTACAGGCCATTCACATGGAAACATGTTAAAATGTCTTTGGCCTGATAAACTGGCATCAAATCCCATTTCCAGTTAGCGCTCCAGCTAATTATAAACAGGATTTGAAGCACAAAAGATAGATCAGAAATTAAGTGGAGGAAGATCAGAATGAGAAACAAAGAGAAACGATTCAAAGAAATGGGGTTTTCAAACAATATACAGACACACAGGTGGGTCTGCAGTCAGAGCAACAGACGTGGTATGCAGACTCGTTAAAATGTACTGTCACTTCAAGAGAAAATGTGTTAACATCTCGCTGGACTAATAAAGTAGCTTTTGGCCCCGTTCAAATTATCTGTGAATCATCCAACGTCCCTGACTGCCAAGCTGAGTGCAGGCAAACAAGCTTCACAGGAGCCACACAGTCATCTCATCTCAACATCGCTCTGCTTTAGCTGCCACTAAAAACAATGTGGGGGAGAGATGCTGCAGTGTTTTTGAATGACAGTCTCTTGACAGTTCTGCAGCAAATACATTAGCATAAAGTTCAATTTTTAACCAAATTGCAGGGGAAATAATGTGAGATAATAAAAACAACGGGGAATTCATTGTGTTTTTCACATTGGTTCAAACAGTGGACACGCTGCAGTGCAGACGCAGGCCTCTGGATAAAACGGGAGAAATGTACTGATGTTTTAACAGCCAGTTGGAATCCATTCTCGTTAAATCTGCCTCTCTGTCTGAACTGCCAAAAAACACAGTTAGACTCACAAATAAAACAAACGCACACAGGAGCTCGCTCGCTCACAGACTTGGTCGTAATTTAGCCTTAAGCTTTTTAAATGGGTCTGCACAAAACACCAGATGCTGCAATCTCCCACATTCTTGCTTTGGCTCGACATTCTGTCAAACGTAGACCAACAAAGTCACATTACAGCAGATGTTCCATTTTTCTTCTTTGAGTAATGAATAAAAACAATTTAGTCTGCCGTTTTTAAAGCTCTCACCTTAATTATATTCGGAAAAAAGTGATGAAAAAGCAAGATTGTAAGGTACTTTTCCTGTGGTAATGTACAAAAGGAAATGTTTAGCACACATTTGATGAATATGCCATACACAGATTGTCATAAAGCTATCACTATGGTGGGTAAGGTTAACCGAGTCCTCATAAAGACTGATTTTGAGAACCAGTGGACTCAAACATCCGCCTCATTAAGCTGTTTGTCGACTGCGATAAAGTGTGAACTTCAAGTTGAAGAGCTAAGGTGTAAAGCTCCAATATTATTTGATCTTAAAAATGTAAATAAATGTAAACATGAATTTGTCTGTTATTGTTTTTCGTTTGCTAATATCCAACACCCACTACCCACTTCCACCCATCTGTTCTGAAGCTTTCTCAAGCACAATGCTGTTTTTATGAATATTAAAATGAAAAAAAGTATAAAACCACTGTCTGTTTTGTATGGACTTGAATATAAGGCTCTCTCTGGTTGAGTCATTTTGATAACTGCATTATAGGCTTAAACAGTTACATGTAATAAATAACAATATGCATGTAACAAGTGTATTAATGCTAGTCATTGTGTGTGTGTGTGTGTGTGTGTGTGTGAGTGAGTTGGTGTGTGTGTGAGTTGGTGTGTGTGTGTGTGTGTGGTGTGTGTGTGTGTGTATGTTGAGGTGTTTAAGAGCTGTGGATAATGTTGGCACCTTGATTGCCATGTTCTCCTCCCGCCGTCAGAGAACAGACGTTGTGCATCATTTGACGAAGTGGAACAAAATGGCCGTCAATCAAACTGACGACTTCATCTCCATGATAACTGCAATTTAACTGAAACCGGTATGAAGGCGACAAATGGTTGTTGCCAAGGAAAGCGAGTTTAACCCCTCAATAGAACTGGTCATTTCTTGATCGTAATAAATGCTTAAGCTTAGGGCGACTTAAAACTTCACACATTGAAGACGCACAGCTGAAAAACTGTGTTTGATACGGAAAGACTGGAGTTATAACACAGCCCACTAATTACAAAAATAAAAAGTGATTATTTTAAATGTAGAAGACAGTTTAAACCTGTGAAAGAAACCTACTACAAAAATTAGAACCTAAGCTCTTGTGGGGCAAATAAATGATTGTCAACCTTATTCAACATTTCTTTCCCTGCAAAGGACTTTTACTGTGATTGTCAATTGAGATGCAAAATTACAATTCAAGAAATCATCAAAAAATGATAAGGAACATACACAGAGTTCAACCGTCTCTCAAAAACACACACATTCACACACATGGACCCTCAGCTTCCACTCTCTCATTATTTAGTCTTTCCATCTAGAGAGGTTCAACATAACAAGAGAGGAAATGAGGGTGGTGATGTCACAGTCCACACACAGTCACACACACACACACACACACACACACACACATTTCATGTCATTTTCTGAGTGAGATGACTGAGGTCGCAAGGGAAATTCAGAGCACTGGAGGGTAAATAGCTTTCCGTTGGTCTGATAGCGACTCGCACATATACACACACAAAAATCACCTACTGTGGAACGCACATGTTCACACACACACGCACCAACATTTATGGAAGCCAGTATAAAGGCGATCATTGCAAATCAGGCGTGAGGTCGATATACTCCTTATTTTGATCAATACAATATTTATAGTAGTGTAAACTAAGAGTTAGGTGATCAAAGGACATGTCTTTGTCTTTCCCAAGTCCAATTTCTGGGAAATATATTATATAAATTAACTAATATATTGAATTTAGAGTACTTGAATTCAATCAGACAACCCCTCATCCCTTCATGAATGGTATACTATAATTATTTTAATACTAATCCTGAAGATCTTTTGTTTTTCTTTGGCGGAAACAGCAAGTATGGTCATTGACAATAAGATGAGCCTTTTGTCAAATAAAAAGCTTAATGATTACAGCTTTAGAGTGGATGGAAAGCTTCTTCCGGAAATAAATGCACATAATATAATGCTGTGAACACGTCAAAAGCGACCAATGACGACTGTTAGAGCCGAGGCGGCCCAGTAGGTGGTCGTTGAGAATAAATGTGCCATTATTAAAAAGCTTTTAAGAAACCAGATCCTGACAAATGGAACATACTGAATTTCTAGCTGTCAGCATATATAATGAAACGTTTTTGTTCATATATTATACATCTCTTTGTAAGTTTGACTGTAGCGAGAATAGTGTGTATCAGGAATTCAACGTGCATAGAGTTTAAGTGACAGGTGTGAAAACGTGTGTTGGCGCTTCTGAGACCATTTAGAAATGTGTATTTATATTCTGTAGCCACACCACAGTGGTGAAAGCTGTGATTGATGGGCCTGAAGCCATTATCATGTCAAGATGGGCCTCTTCTACTTCCTGTCCAGAAATAGAATTATATTCTACGTACGTGCTGGTTGGCATAAACAAATAAATAATGAATAAATACAATTCATCTCAGGCTTACTTCCTTTTAATGAAATGAGGCACAAATATTACAATATTCACTTAAGATCATTAGCTTTAAAATGACAACAACTTAAATCAAAACTGTTTTTATTTCGTTTTTTAAATGTTAAATGGTAACCGTTGGCCATGTCATCGGGAGCAACTCAGGGTTAAGTATCTTGCCCAAGGATACATCGACATGTTGGCTGCACGGGCTGGGATCGAACACACAACCACAAGTCGCCCATTAAAATAAGTATTCCTTTTTTGTCGGGTTTCTTTACTCTAACTTACTGCACTGTTTGTAATTATGTATTAACTGTGAGTTTATATTTAAGCAATAGCTCACGACAGGCCGTGGTATATGCTCATTATATCACAGCTAAGGGGCGTGGTTCGGCCGGCAGTTTGCTTTTCAGCCCAACGGTATACTGTTTTTCTCAGACGCGGAGGGATACTGACTTGTTGTGGTATACGCTCAGTATATCACGGCTAAGAACAATCAGATTGCTCGATTTGACTTGTCCGTTTTATAAATGTATATAATAAAGAAAGATAACTTTTAAGCAGTATGATGTCATGTGTCACAGAGAAGCCTGTAAAATGGTGTTTCACAATAATAATAGAGTGGTAAATGGACTGCCTTTACTGTATATAGCACTCTTGTCCAAAGCGCTTTACAATTTGCCTCTTACCACCTATTCACATCTGAACTGGCATCAAATTGCTTTTTAATGAACTATAATATATATCTCTCTGAGCTGTGGTTTGTGTCGTATGTCTCATATTTTGTCCCTCATTTCTATTCCGCCATTAAATGTACCTATATTCCTTTTATAACTCTTTTTCATGATACACTTAATGACAGAAAAGATGGGAAGGACACCAAGATATTGACTTAGATTCAACTTGAATACAGACGTTTGAGAATGAGCCTTTGTCCAGGGAATCCACAGAAAAGTACAAGAGGCCGTATCACTCATTATCAGGTTTATATTTGTGTTTTTGCCTCTGCTGTGAAATGTTTCCATCACTTTTAACCTAAAAAGCTATTTTTCATAGGCTTCTATTAATAAACCGATGGCTTCTCGTGAACTGAAGTCTCACACCCTCATTATTTTTATTCTCAAGACATCTATGTAATTATACTCTGGCGGTGTAATCTGTTTAATCACACTTCTAAACTAAACTAGATGTCCTAAATCTCCCATGCCAGTACACAGACCCTTAATCACGGAGAATCCTGCCAAGCGTTCCAAATCATAAATGGAAACCCAATTATTTAAAGGGTGACAAGCATGTTTATGAAATGATTGATAGCTAAGTTGGTTTAACTAATTTCAGCACTGCTGTAATAATAGCAGGTAGTTTAATTCCTTGGATGACAAAACCTTTGTTCAATAATTAACGAATTGCTGTGATTACAAAGCGATAGACAGCATGCAGCGTGGTGTGTTCGTGTTATCTAAAACTAAGGCTGGTTACAGGAGCAAAATCCTGAAATTGGTAACACAAGATTAAGGAAAGTCCACAAAAAACCTACTAAAAATGCATTTTGACCATTGCATTGTGCTTTATTGTTGTTAAGTACATTTGTTGAAAACTTCACTTCTCTTAACATTTTCTGGTTGGATGCGAATTGCATTTTGTTGTGCAATGACAATAACATGAATCTTGAATTGGTTGGCATTGCTCTCATTTGACCAGATATAATATATATATTAACTTATTAGTTATGTATTATTCCATGTTAATAAAGAAATGTAGCCAACAGACGTTTGTTAGAGGCTTATGGTAGCTTTACCTTAATCTTCAAGTCATCTTTAATTTTCTTTTTTCAATTACTTAACAAAACATAGGTTATAAACTGTCACGAAAATAAAGAAAAGCGAAGCTCAAGCCCAATTAATTTTTCAAAAGTTGGCAAATCCAAAGGTGTTACTTTCTTAATTTAAAGAAAAATAGAACATTCAAATGTAAAAATCAAAAAAGCTGAGATATGACTATTGGTGATACAACTATCTTGGTGATATCTAATGATGAATGAATGTCACAGGTGTCAAATCCAGCGGCCACCTGGTCTTGCTGTGTCGAGGCAATAGGTTAATTTGAAATTGAAAATTGTCCATATGGGGGGGTGTAAAGTGTAAGTGGTTCTCTGTACACGTGTGCTGCTGCAGGCTGATCCAGGGTGTGTGTCCACCTCCAACGTCTCTTACATCTTCCTAAATGTGTTTTTGGCAGAGATGGCAAAAAGTACACACATCCTTTACTGAAGTAGAAGTACAGATACTCGTGTTTAAAAATACTCTGGTAAAAGTAGAAGTACTGACTAAACTTCTTTACTCAAGTAAAAGTAAAGAAGTATGGGCTTCGAAATGTACTTAATTAAAAAGTACCCATAACTAGCAGCTGTTTTTAAAGAGTACCTGACCTCCCTTTATATTAATAGAACAATATGTCATTGTTAGCTAATGAATGTTTTCCATGCTGAACAACGGCAACATGACAAACGTTTTCATTGGTCCCTCTTCTTTAGAGAAGACCAGGAAATGATGGATACACGGATCGTGTTCAAATCAATAGGCACGCAATGACTCTAAATAATAATGATCACGCCACCAACACACATTCAGACTAAAGGAACCACGCCTGTTTTGAAAATGTAAGAAGTAGAAAGTACAGGTGATTTGTGTTAAAAATGTAAGAGGTAAAAGTAAAAAAGTCGTCAGAAAAATAAGTAGTGGAGTAAAGTACTGATACCAGAAAAATGTACTTAAGTACAGTAACAAAGTATTTGTACTCCACTACTTCCACCTCTATTTTTGGGGAAGTTCCTTATTTTCTTAGACTAAGCTGGGCCAACACCTTACTTCTCAGCCCAGTTTAAAAAAAAGCATGATTTGTGATCAAAAATATGTGTTATTGTTTTCCTTTGACGATTTGTTTTATTCTCATGAAAGACAATGCACCTAACACTGTATACACGGACAGCTTTCACCAAAATATGTTTTGCCTAATAGTGCGTTAAACTGCCTCAAATCACAGACTAATACAAATGTTTTTGATGCTGTTAGATGAACCTTGGTTGAAAAGGATTTCGTCTCAGACAATAGAGGCTGCGGTCAGGTTTGATTCATGGCCCTTACAGTGGATTCCAGTTAATGACGAGTCACCATTAAATTCCTCTGAAAAACACATAAATCCGACCGCAGCTGTCGTTCTTTGTGAAGAAGGAGCCAAGTGTCAGTGCTACAGGGAGGACAGGCTTGACTCAGTATTAGTGTAAAGATGGGGTAAGCCCGAGGGGAATACATGTGGAAGATACCACCCTCACAAGTATCATATTACAAAGTGTGTGTTTCTACCTGTTTTAAGTCCAGAGTGATTGTCACAGAGTGGTACTCTCTTCCATTCTTGATAGAGGGACTTTGCCACCAACGGTTTGTCCCGTCTATTGGCGTACTCTATGGGATGTTGTTCTAGAAAAACACACAAACAAGAACACAAAGAGAGATCGAAAATCAAAGTGAGGGTCAGAGGTCATATCAGTAATTGTATTCTATGTTATCTTATATTTCAAATATCATTTTTAGTCTTGAGGAACATTTTCCATTTTTTTTTTTATAAAACTGGCATTTCAACCATTCAAGGCCAGATATCAAAAGCACACATTTTCTACCTTATCAGGGAGAAATAATTTTCTTTTCTTTCCTTTTCAGATTATTTTATTTCACTTCTGAATAAAAAGAAATGTCACCCTATTTGCCGAATCTGCTCCTCGCTGCTGTTACTATTCCGCACAATAACTCGGACGCAACAGGAAGGAAACATTATTATTATAGTTTAACACAGAGAGAAGGTCACTTTGTTACGCTTTAATGTATGCTGTGTGTTCAGTAAGCCTTTGTTGGGTGGTAATTGAATGAGAGAGTATTTTTAAGTGAATATGATGGGTTGACTTGCAGCTGCCAATCATCAGGCTTACTTATGTGTGACATTTCTGTTACAAAAACCATGGCAACTATTGACAGAATAGCAATAACTACATCCTTCCTTTTCCCTCATTTATCCAGGGTGTTTTCCTCCTGTGGCTAAGATGTTTTACATTGAAAGTTAATAAATGGACATGCAGAATTGCTTAATCAAAATACATTCCCATTGCCATTCAATTAAACAGTCTGTCCTACAGAAATATATCAAATAATACAATAACAAGTAAAATTAGGAATGGTTCGTTATATTAGAATAAAGAATGTCTAGAAGTCTAGAGATATCTTTTTGAAACTGAGCATCGAGTATAAGCTATACTACTTTTTTAGGACCACTTGAACTGTATGTTGCTACTGTGTATTTGGAATGTTGCTTTATTTGCCGGGGCTAAAAACACATTTCCATTGTTTGTCAATGTAATCGTCAATAAGTCGTTCTGAATTTGAATCTATAGCTCTTATCAATTATTGTCCCTAGTGGGGACTTTAACGGTGGTTTTCATAATCTAATCTTACTCTGAGCAAGAAAGAGAATAAGCATAGTTCATTTAAAATACAGAGAAAGTCTGTTATGTAACTCATCACTTGTTTTAAAAAATACCTTTTTGATCTCAGTTCATCTGTCTTTCATTTTCACCACACTAATTTCAAGCTTTATTTCCCCCGTCTTTCTGCAGCAGTAAAAACCCTGCTTCATCCTTCTTCTTCTCCTCTCATCCTGGTGTGACTAACTGTCTGATTGCTAAGCTAACTAAGCAAAGCTAGCTGAGCAGGTGTAACCAAAGCTAACTGCACTCATTAGCTGACTGACTGGCTGGTTGATGACGGACTGCTTCAGCGACTAACTGATGGTTAACTGAATCATTGATTGACTAAATAACTGTCTTGTATGAATTATGATTGCAGGCTAATTTTCTATTGTCATCTTGTCATGTCGCGATTGATTTCTCAGTTAATTCAGTGATTATCATTTCAGACAAACGGATTTGTTAACATCTGGCACCTAATTAACTAATCGAGTATGATTAATTGTTTGTAATCAGAATGCCTATAAGTCTGTCTTACCTGTGGGTGTTGTACTCTTTTGGTTGCAGATTCGACACTGAGCGTTTCTTATGGGCTGGCCGGGGTACATGTTCCACCAGCTTACAGAACATCTCCGGACCCGTGGAACCACAGGTCGCATTAGTGGATATATCTGCCATGGAGGCCAAGTTCAACACAGCCTGGGAACAGACCTGAAATAAAACACACAGACGAACAGGAAACAGATGTTAAAAAAAAAATTAAACCGATAGATAAACATATTATTATGGAAGCTTGTTAGACATACTGTAAATGCAACCTAATATTAAGAGTGTGGTGTTTTTGGAAATACACTTGATACACACATGAAGTTGGTATCAATATTCTCATTTGAGAACTTGAAAGCAAACAATGACATAAGACAATTCATGAAATGTATTAAATGCCAATTCAATGTTACCTAATTTTAAGCTGTCTTTAAAATATGTTTCCATTTCCTATTGTTATCTCTTTTTTTGACAGTATATTGGTTTTGCTCTTCAGTTTGATTTGAAACCTGAGGATGTATGACTTATCCAGTTTGTAATCCTGTATTTTTAAAGCACTTTGTCGGATATGTTGAATCACATTCATTCATAGTGTTATAATTATTATTTTAAAATAATAATAAAAGTATAGTTGGATCAGGTTGAACGCAATTAGGAGCAGCTCAAAGGAGGTCAGAAAGAATTTCTTCTTCAAAACAACATGTGTTGCTAAAAAGCAGAACATTATGTGTTATTAGGAACCCAGAGAACACCCTGCTTTGCTCAAATGTTTTGTTCTTAAAATCATTAAATTGTTTCAGTTTCTGTGTGTAGTCTTGCAGCGAGTGAGCCAGCTTGCACAGTTCTGAGGTTATGAGTAATTAGTGGGGAACATGAGGGGGAGGGCAGGTTTTGTACCAGTCATTTATATAATCTTGGTAATATTTTGGTTACAGTCTAATGCAGTTAACATCATTTACCCCTCACAGATAGAGCAAGCCATATTCACTTTATCTTTGCATAAAAGAAGCATGCAGATTAAAGAAAACATTTTCAGGCCAGTTTTCAACCGTGCAGATTTGGGCCTGCTACTTTATCAAAGGACTGTTCATTTGCATTATGTTGCTCAAGCATTTTCCACTTCCTTTCTGTGGCTATTTTAAACTGCTGGAGCTCATTTTATTATGGAAAACAATCCTAAGTACACAGCTTTTATCCAGGATATTATTATGTTATACTATTCAAAAATGACTTTCTGATCTTGCGATATAATTCACAAAATATCATTTTTGCACCCCTATCTTATCCTAATGTATTTTTGTATTATTTGGTGAAGTATCTGGACTAAATGCTACATATAAATGCATGTAATGTAATACAATGGATTCCGATTTGGATTGTTTGGCATGCATCACATTGTTTGTCTATAGTATGTGCACATAGTTTAAAGTATTTGAGTGCACTCACAAGCCAAGTAGCTCTGAGACTTCTAAACAAAGCGATGGTAACTCATGTCTACATGTCATCAGCACACAAATGCACCATGAGACTAAGCACCGGTTTTTCCAGGCTGTGTGTTCCCAAAGTAAAAGCACATTCGTCTCAGAGTCAAGGACAAGCTTGTTGGACTTAAGGTACTGGAATGCTCAACATATTGTGCACATGGTTCACATTTCCTGTCTGGCAAACACACACAGACAAACACATGCACGTCCTGCACAATGTCACATGTCCCAGACGTGATGTAAGGTCAACAACTTTTACAGTTAAACAACATGTGCACTGATGTACAAACATAAACACAGAGATGCGGGAATGTACAGAGGGAAGATCAGATTGAAAGACAGTAAAAGTGTTAGAGAAACGAAGCACTTGTGAAAGGGTGGACGGTGTGTTTGTGTGTGTGTGTGTTTGTGTGTGTCCAGAGGAGTCCAGCTGTTTGGCCAGATGTCAACACTGATGAACTGTGAAGAACATCTGAGACACCCAAAGTCTCTCTCACACATGTGTACACATTCTCACAGTAGTACTCACAACATATCATATAGACACTCTGCATACCTTCAGAAATTCTCACAACTGATATCTGAGAATCTACACGAGGGAGGAAAGATTTCCATAACTGTGTTTTCTTGGAGGGAAAGTTCTCACTGTGTTTCCGAAAAATGTGGGGGGATAATATCATACCACATCCGGGTTGTGTTTGTAGAGACTCACATAATGCAGCTTTGAGTAAATCAGATAACCATAACACACAAGTTAGGATATTAAATTGGGTTTTTTCCATTCATGTGTTGCAGTTTATGTTGTTGTTGGCAAGTTATATTGATCAATTCATCACGATAATGTCACTCCTAGGCAATTGTGTGTCTTGACTACTGTCACACATCACAACACTTTCAATACTTATTCTAGAAGTACTGAATAGTTTCAAACTTCATTCATAACTGTTTCTAAGTCAGCATTGAATTCTGGGCTATTTTCTTTTCTGCTTTCTTTTGAAAGTCCATTCAATAGTAGAGTACTCTATATTATTAACGTCATACTTTTGGTGGCTGTGTGATATATAACATTTTCAATAGCTCCCGACTCTACAGGCTTTGGTATTTAGTATTTACACAAATGAATGTTCACTGCAGTTTAAAAAACTGTTTGCATTCAAGGCCTTATTTGAAAACCTCAATATAAGCTTTGAACACAGTTTGCACATTTTACTGATAATAAAGCTGCTTTTATTCGTGTTGAACCAAGTCTTTTCACTTCCTTCTTTTCATTGTGGCAGTATTTGGATGTCTCAAGATTTTAAGTCTGATATTTGATTCACATCTCAAAGGCTCTAGTCATTGGAGAGCAGGTTGAACTCTTCACTTTGCCTTTGTAAACTCTATTCCCAATCTTAAAAGTCACAGTAGGCAAAAGGAAAAGCTCTAAAATAAGAGTAACAGCATCCATATATACTAATGGATTTAACCTTTAATGCACCTATTACAAGAGCAAACATGTGTGCACCATCTTATTGTCATGTTGTCAACACAGCAAGTCATTGAACCATCTTCAATGTGAAATATATCTTATTTAAGGCTTTAATAAAAGATCATATTGGTTTCTTTAATAAACATATTTCTCATGATCCGTCTCCACACCGTTTCTAACGACTGCCTCCTCCTTCTGTCAGGAAATCTAGCCAACATCATGTGGAATTATGGATATTCATTCATAACCTGGATACAAATGTGTGTGGGAGTAAGAATATCTTTAATAGTGTCATTTAAACCTAGATTTGAGACAGCTAATACCTTAAACACCCATCAGCTCTGCTTCTCTGAATTTAAAGAATCACAAGGGGTCAGAAAGGAAACATTATTTGTTCAAAGTGAAAGCACATGTTTAGTTAGTGCCATTTTCATCTCTTTCAATCTGGCTGGGACCCTTGCATGTTCACATAACACATTTCCAAACTTTAATTATAAAAGCACATAAAAAAACATCTTTGGAAAGTGAAAATAATGCAGGGAACAACAACATTTTCTTTATAGATTGTGTCACTGTGTTGGCTGCCATAGCAACTTTTCTAAACATTACAATTATCTCTTGGGAGAATGTCATCATGGGTACAACTCCAACTCTGATAACACTTTCTCCCTTTGCTTGTATGTCCAACAATGAGGTGAGATAACAACAGAGACACAGAGAGGGCTGGCTAAAGAGAGGGCTCACATTTCAGATTCACTCAATGACAAGGACACAATGACTGTCTGCCTTCAGCTCTATGGCTTTCACTCACACACACACACACACACACACACACACACACACACACACACACACACACACACACACACACCACACACACACACACACACACACACACACACACACACACACACACACACACACACACACACACACACACACACACACACACACACACACACACACACACACACACACACACACACACACACACACACACACACACACACACACACACACACACACACACACACACACACACACACACACCACACACACACACACAACAACACACACACTATCTACTCAGGTTCATCACCTTCCATTCTTTTCTCTCTGCTCTGATAACCATGGTAACCCGTTCTATCTGTCTGTGTGCCTCTCTATGCCGCGTCTACGCTCCGTTAACCAGATGTCTCGGAGGATTTGCTGCCATACAGCCTCTAAATTATAATATTATCAGAATGTATAAGCACACACAGGGAAAGCTGGGAAATGTCATCGTCAAAGAAGTTGTTTCAACACTCCCAAACACTGATTACAAGGAAACAACCATTGAAAAGATGGGTGGAAAAACACTAATATTACCCAAATAATAATTACAGTACAGGCTATCATACTGTATCAAAATGTTCAAATGTAGAAATGATCATACACCATATAATGCCACATTGCGGTTATGTTTTACAATTAAAATATATCCATACAAATATATATGTATACATATGCTGGAGAGAAACCAAATAAAACATTCGATTTTCTCAGCATCAACCAAATCTAGCTTGAATGTTCAACCTTGATTTTGTCACAAGGTTCATTGACTAATTGGACATTCCTGGAGCTTTCAGCCACACATTGTGGTCTTTTTCTATGAAAAGGCTTTGATTCGTTATTTGTTTTCGGTATTTGTCCTTGTTGATGTTGCAAGTGGAGATGCTGAGATGCAAGAAGAATGTCAGACCTATTATCGTATCGTTTATCGTATCGTCACATGTTTTTGCATGACCAGAAAAACCACTATAGTAAAGACTTAACCATCTCACTAAGAAGAAATCAAACCTCTTCTAGTGTTGCAAGATGTGGGAATTCAATTTTACATCGACCAGAGATTTGATGCTTTTCAACGGTTATTGTATTCTAAAAAGAGGAGTTAAGACACCCAGGACTTCCATCTATATCCCAGGGTACACCTGTTCCAACAAATACAGTGTTTACAAAAGTGACGATATTGAAGGACACTTATATCATACTTATCAATGCAGTAGGAAGGACAATACGATATTAATATGGGAGTTAAATCTAAACTTAAGGAGAAAATGTCCAGACATGACTGGATTTCCACCAAATTCAGGATGACAGCAAATATATTCTATCGTATGAAGGCTTCTCATGACATTATAACTAAAACTTTATTCGTTTATTTCTGTGGACGATGACTCTGCACTGCTTGTCCTGCTGCATGGATGTGTGTGAGCATACGAGTGTGTGTGTGATGGATGTGTTATTGTTGAGTTTTGAGGCAAGATGTATGCTTGATGGAACAAGAAGAAGGTTGAAAAAGACAGGATCATCTCTCTCTGTATCTCTCCTTCTCTCTCTCGCCCTTCCATCCAGAGCATTTGGGGGGGGGGGGGGGGGAGGGGTGAGAGAGATATGGATGCAGAGAAAGAAAGAAAGATTGATGGAGATGGATGGAGGGATTCCCAGAGAAAGATAGAGTGTTGTTTAAAAGGGTCATGGCCAGGAGGGGAATGAAGGATGAGACTGCGATAATCCTGTATACTCTGACACACACACACATAAACACAATGGCACAGAGCCTTCATACAGATATCTACATATAGAAGCACACACAATCGCCAATCGTAAAAGCACTTGCAAAAATATACAATCTAAAATATGTCTACAATGCAGACACATATGAAAGCTTAGAATATATCATGTGATCATGTTAGTCTAAATCAAATCATACGCACATGCACACCCCATACTCAAATTAATTTCCACCTAGAAATCAGACCAAGATAAAATACAGACACTAATAAGTCCTCAGCTTGGGAGCAGCTCTCCGAGAAAACTAATCAGATTTGTGAGCTTAGATGTGCTCTGAACACCTGACAAATGATTTTTCTTCCACCTCTGAGTTTCACAAACGAGACACTCCAGGAAATGGGATTTTAACAGTTTAACAAGGGCAAGAGAATTCAACACATGTCCCGACTGGTGAAAAAGACACTCAAAATGTCCTGATACAGGTGAAACAGAGTGTTTGTGTCTGCACCCACACTCTCCAGATCATGACTTCATTATGTGGCGATCCAGGAATATCAAACTTCTAATGATGATGAAAAACAAAAAGGTCAACGCTACTTGCTAACACATTCTGGTTGCATTTTCTTTCCGTGTCTGACTATGACCGCAGTAAAATAGGAAAGATCCAACAGCTCCTTTCTCATGAAGGCAACAGTTACAAATTGTTAAAAATGTAATCACACACACACAAATAAATGGCAAGTATTATTAAATTCTGTGTGTGTCAGAATATAACCAGGAGGTTGCAGCAATTTAAATGTCTTATCTTTATTTTCATCCTGCTTAATTTAAGAGCATAATTATCCTGTTATCATCAAACTGTGTATCCCTGTAGAAATCAGATAGAGTGAAAATAATTTCCCAAGACAATTACCTAATTAAAGTAGATTTATAGATAACACCACAATAAGTGCACAGCTTAGGTAAAGAACAGCACTGTATGAATCACCACAGTTCAACACCTACATAGTATAGCGAGGTATTTAAAGAGGCCCTAATGTGCTTTTTGGGGGTTTTCTCTTTCCTATAGTGTGTTATATAGGTGTGTGTGTGTGTGCATGTCAACGGTCTGCAAAGGCTGAAATCCCAAAGTTCACTCCACAGGGAGTTATCTGTTATCCTCCCCTAAAGAGAAATATTCTTGAATAACATCTACATGGCACAACGTGAGCGTCATGAAGACAAAAGTGTCTTGAGGCTTAAATCACAATAATTGAATACAATGAAAGGAAAATTAACAATGGCACGACTAGCATGATTTTCTCAATAATCACAAATGAAAGCTTAGAATATATCATGTGATCATGTTAGTCTAAATCAAAGCATTTACTGGGACTCACACACTCCTCTCTGTCGACCGGTCCTGGCTCCTGTTTGTCAAAACATTTATTATTCACTTAACTTTGGTAAAGCTCACATCTCACAAAAAAGGTTTAGTATTAGCACACACACACACACACACACACACACACACACACACACACCACACACACACACACACACACACACACACACACACACACACACACACACACACACACACACACACACACACACACACACACACACACACACACACACACAACACACACACACACACACACACACACACACACACACACACACACACACACACACACACACACACACACACACACACACACACACGCACACACACACACACACACACACACACCATGTATACATCACTTCAGGGGACATTACATTGACTTACATGTATTTCCTGGAGACTTATCCTAACCTTAACCATAACCAACACATGCCTAACCCTAACCCTTACCCTTAACCTTACCCTAAACCTAACCAAGTCTTCACCCTAAAATTAATGATGCCCCTCATGGGGACCTCCAATTTGTCCCCATAAGGGAGGCGAGTCCCCACACGTGACTGTGTAAACAGATGTAGGTCCCCACAAGTATTGTAATGCTAGGCCACACACACACACACACACACACACACACACACACACACACACACACACACACACACACACACACACACACACACACACACACACACACACACACACACACACACACACAGCTGTCAGTGTTCCATGGTTGCTGCGTGTTGTTGCTATGGGAACATAGTCTGTACTGACACGTTGGATTAATGAATGACATTTGTAATAGGCTACATGTTAAATCACATTTTCCCGGACATTGGCTTGTGCTCTGTTCCTGTCACTCTCTTTATCACCGCTTTTACAAACTTCCCAATTAAAACGGTGTGTACTAATATCATCTGTGTTAGCAAATGTACTATCTGCAAACCCATCGGCTATTGTTCTAAAGACGATAAGCCTCTGAGGGAAATGGGGCTATGTTTTAGGGCATCTTTTTCCATGCAATGATTAAATGATGATTAAATGCTTACAGCCTGAGAGGTGAGACTGGAGTTTAGCGACAAAATATAAAACTACATTGTTTCATAAGCAGATGGTTTAGAAGCTAACATTATAACTGTGTTTGATTTTTATATTTGCTGTTGTAACTTATTGTCTTCTGTTTGCGATTGTAGTAATGTGTTATTTATTACTTGCATGTACAGCACTTTGGCTCGACCAAAAATCGTTTCTAGAATGTGCTATATAAATAAAACCTGATTTGATTTGATTATGCTGTAAAAAGCTCAATTATAGACGGGCGATAGGCAATGTCATAAGACGACTGCTCAAACGTTATTAGTCAATTACATTTCGGACAATAAAAGACAACTAAACCATTTCCAATGCCAACATCTTGTCTCTGGATATTTCAAGTTAATCCATTCAATTTGTGTAACAGTGTTTAGCTTTAAACAGCACCTGGTGATTTCAAGGACGCGAAAATGTCATTACTCACGTTATTAGGGTAAATCGTCCGACAAAATAGATTTGCGTCCTTAACAGAAGCACCATTAGACATTCTGTCATCATCTGATCATTACTACTATTACTATGTAGACTTTGTTTATCATTCAAAATGGAGCCAAGTGAACTGATACCAGTAACTGGGCTTCTGAAATTACCTGAAAAATTGCAGGAGGTTTTGATCTGAAGGTGTTCAAATGTTTGGGAATATAACTCAAATGCAAGGCTGAGAATATGATGCGGACATATTGATACGAGTGACCCTAAGTTCATAGTTAACATGCTTGAAGCTTAAGTATTTACGCTGAATGTTGTCATAATGAGTGCACTCTCATTCTTGCATTTCGGGTATGTATATAGTAGTCAATGACTGCTTATTAATGCTAATTTCTTACTAGGCTAGGCAAGGCAAGGCAAGGCAAGGCAAGGCAAGGCAAGGCAAGGCAAGGCAAGGCAAGGCAGGCAAGGCAAGGCAAGGCAAGGCAAGGCAAGGCAAGGCAAGGCAAGGCAAGGCAAGGCAAGGCAAGGAAAGGCAGGCAAGGCAAGGCAAGGCAAGGCAAGGCAAGGCAGGCAAGCAAGGCAAGGCAAGGCAAGGCAAGGCAAGGCAAGGCAAGGCAGAGGCAAGGCAAGTTTATTTATACATTACTTTTCAACACAAGGCAATTCAA